TCTATCTATCTATCTATCTATCTATCTATCTATCTATCTATCTATCTGTCTGTCTGTCTGTCTGTCTGTCTGTCTGTCTGCTTCAGCAAACTGGCTATATTTGTCTTACTTTTAGCTACTGTTAGCTAGCCTTTAGCTACTTTAAGCTCTTAGCTATTGTTCTACTTTTGGCTTCCAGCTTGTATTTCACTCTGTGTAGCTAGACTTTCACTTTTCTAGCTTTTAGCCAACATTTTGTTACTTTTAGCTAGCATTGTACCATTTTTAGATTTAGGCTATTTTTTAAAACTATTTTAAGTTTTCGCTATAATTTTGTTTTAACTTTTTTAACTAGCTTTGAACTTTTATCCACCTTTGGACTACTATAGCTTTTGACTAGGGATTTGCTGCTTTTAGCTCGCATTTTTCCAGTTTTAGCTCATATTTTACTATGTTAGTTAAAAATTTCATATTTTTTTACTCAGCATTTTGCTACTATTAGATTCTAGCTAGCTTTTGAAATATTTGGCTTTTATCTACCCTTGAGCTACTTGAGCTTTCAGCTACAGCTGCATTTAGCTAGTATTTCACCATTTATTAGCTTTTAGCATTTTGCTTTTTTTTGTTGTTTTTGTTTGCTTATTAAGCTCATTTTAGCAATCTACCAGGCCCTTGCTACTTTCAGCTTCTAATTAGTGTTTTGACCCCCGTAGCTTTCTTATACCTTTTAGCTACTTGGCGCGTTTGCTGCACATTTTTTAATTTTAGCATGCATTTTGTTATTTTTAATTCAATTCAGTTTATTTATATAGTGCCAAGTCACAACAGAAGTCATCTCAGGGCTCTGAACAAAAACATTCACATTCATAAAAGTCAATTAGTAACATTTTTATTTATTTTTAGCTTTTAGCTATGTTTGTATTTTTAATTTTATCCAGCCCTTTAATGCATATAGTTTCTACTTATCCTAATTATTTTTAGCATTTAGCTCCATAACTTATTTAGATTTTAGCTCACATTTAGCTACTTTTCCTAACGTTTATTTTAGCTTTAATAGCTCCGAATTCAGCACTTTAGACAAACTTGCTGACATACATTTCTTAACTTTTGCATTTTTGGTTTAATAAAAAGGTTAAATATTTTTAAATTTAACCTGTAAACTTAAAAAAATCTAATCGTCTTCAGTTCTGAGTAAAAATACAACTAAATGTATTGTTTTTTTAATGTTCCGAACAACAAAATCATCAGTATCATGATTCTAAAATTAAAAAGCGAGGCCTCGCGTTTTGCAGATCACGTGACTCTACCCGGAAGTGACGCGCGGTGCTCAAAAGAGTTAAGCACAGCATCGGGGAACAAAAACAGCAGCTAGCTTCATTTTGTTTCAGCAGCAGAGCAGCGGGGCAGCGGACAAACACTCGGTGAAAACGGTGAACGGTAAGTCGCCGAGGTTGAGTTTGTTTTTTTAACCGAACCGGTCAGATGCGCAGGTGATGTCGGGACAGGCGTCACTGCTGCAGCGGCCTTTTGACAACAAGCCTGTCCCGTCATCTGTGCACGCTGTCCGTGCATGCTCCGGCGGCTCCGCGCGTCCGAATCAGACTGGACACCCGAGCCCGACGTGGAGGCACCGGACCGGTTCGGACAGCCGCAGGTGCTGCAGCTTCTCAAGCTAAGCTAGCTATTAATAACAAAGAGTCGGTGTGTTTACCTTCAAACGTCACTGACAGGTTAATTATCCTTCACAGGCTGACACTTTTTTCTTTATATAAAACCTTTAATGCCGTATATGTTTTGTAATTAATTATAGTTTTATCCCTATTTATAGTTCTTTAAAAAAAAAGTGATGTCATGGTGTTTTTCATCCTCGCCGCTAGAGGGCAGCACCGAGTCTCCATCTTTGAGCATCGTCACCTGGAAATCAAACGAGTTGTGTTGTTGCTTTAATGTGGATTTTAACCAATACTTTGTTTACAAACACCTAATTGTTTAATTTAAATTAATACAGGTTTTTTTTTTTTATGGTGCTCTTTGAAAACTGGCGCTTCTGATGGCTAATTTATTAATTCAGGACTGTGATATTACTACAAATAATGCAGTTTTTAAAAGTTTTTTGTCCCTACAGAAGAATTATTTGTATACTCGTGTATGTTTTGCAGATTAAAGAAGGCTCATTATGGATCCAGTTGTCATGGACCCATTACTGTTGGACACTTTTCAAAAACCAGCAATCTGCCATGGTTGCTGTTTTTTTTTTTTTATCTTATTTTTTTTAAGTACACACATTATTTTATTAAAGTTCAGCAGTTATTTTTGTTAAATGAGAAATACATGTTGGAGTGTGGGCGTCTTGAGTGACAGTAGAATGGAGCAGGGTCTCGTCAGTGATGAGGTTGTTGCTTTGGTTGGTCGTGGTGAAGAAAGAGCTGAAAGGCAAAGACCTGGACTCACTGGTCTGTCTATGTTACGACCCTGACCTGTGGTCATGAGGTTTAGATCATGGCTACTGGGAAGAGACCCCGGGGCAGACCCAGAACTTGCTGGAGGTATTACCGTATTTTCCGGCCTACAAGTCACACTTTTTTTGCATAATTTGCACGCCCTGCGACTTACAAGCCGAAGCGACATATTTGTTTTTTTTTTTTCCATATTTATAAACCATTTTTTTCTGCGATATGACCGTTTTAATTCATTTTGACTGAAACAAAATTGAGCAGTACCACTTTCAGCCACTTGATGGCAGCAGAGTAGAAGTAGCTGTATGGCATAATGTTGTATCATGTAATAGGTAAACGTGGCTATAATGACACATTCAAAAAAGTTCGAGACAAAAACAACTGGACTTTACTTATTATATTTTACTTTTATATTTTATTGTTTTTGTCTTGAGCTTTTTTTGAATTTACCATGTCCTGGATGACTGAGAAGCTTCACCAGCTATTAATGACACAGTCAGCCTGCCATATAACCCCACCTTCATTCTGCTCGCTGCCTGGACCGAACGTCAAACCAGCTGCACCGCCTCGGTGAAATGCAGCTAATTTGACCATTAAAGTGCATTTTTTAAGTAAATGTTAGACTGAGACACACATTTACTATAATTTCGAGCGAACAACTAATTGTTTTTGAGTCTGGGTTCTTCCCTGGACCTGACTCCATTAAATACGAGTCTCCTGATCCATAAAGATCAGTACCTGGTGTAAAACCAAAAAAAACTCTCACCAGTCGACTTCTGGAAAACAGTTCCTAATTTATTTTTTATCAGCTGGAATGCAAATTCTTTAAATGTTTTAAACCTCACGTTGCCCTTTAAAAGATTAATGCAGTTCTTTTATCCTTTGGGGTCTGTTGGTGATGAGCTGGAAAAGTTAGATTTTCTTCACGTTTTCTTCTTGTTTGGTATAAATCATCTTGATTGACGAGCCAACCGTAACTCCTTTTTGTCTGTGAGATTTTCACGTTGTTGTTTTTTAAACCACATACGGGGGTTTGGTTTTATAGAAATAAAACGGCCGTAGCTTCGAGCGTGAAGCTCGGCTCCCTGACGATCCTCTGGGATGGCTGGCCGACAGATGTCGGAACATTTCATTCGGTTAAATGTAAAAGTCTTATGTAAAGGGTGGGGAACACAGAAGAAACAGCTGGAAGTGTTTGCATCAAATCCATGAAATTCCCAAGTTGTGATTAAATTAATTCCGTTTAAATGGACGTTTGTTTGTTTCCACCCAGCAGCTGTGAGCAGACGACCAGAATGAATCCCATCTACAGCCCTGCACCAGCAGGGGTCCCCTTTCCCAACACCAAGGGTTTAGGCTACCCAGGTAAGGTCACCTTCAGAAGCCCAGGCAGGAGAAATAAAGGACGAGTTCCTACAGTTGATCCTTTTTCCTGTTTGGCTGCAGCAGCCGGGTTCCCTGTTGGCTACGCAGCCGCCCCAGCGTACACCCCCGGTGTCTACGCCGGAGCCAACCCGGCCTTCGCCAGCGGTAAGAATGAACCGGAACAGCTGAGGGGTACACGGGACGGTGGCTTCTGATTGGGTTGGACATTAACGGCGTTATTGGGGGGGGGGGGTCCAACTCAGCATAACTTTGACCCAACAAGGTTTAAAACGACAACGGTCTTGGGCAGTTCAGGCTTTTGATGTATTTGACTTTCTGCAGCAAACGTGACGGCTTCGAGGTCACGTGCACTGTAAACGTGCACATTAAATCTGTCCTGAAATCAGCCGAATATGGACTGGATTTTTTTTTAATAGTTAAATTAGATATTAGAATAGACGAACGGTTTTCAACAAACTTGAAGCAACTTGCTGTAAAAACATCAATGTGCTTTTGTGCATCGCTTCATTTTAAGTCCTTTTTAAAATAAATTTAATAAAAATAAAAATAGGACTTGCTTCCTGGTACGTTAAACGGTATAAATCACAGGTGTCCAAAGTGCGGCCGAGTGATTTTGTGCGGCCCACAGCTGCAGTTTAAGAACGCCATCATTTTGTCCTGCAGGCTCAAGAGGTCGATGCAGACTTTCTGTAAATTAGTTGATCTTTTTTTTAAATGTGATGTTTAGGTTTAACGGTAAAACAAATGAAAAACGATATTCCTATTTCCTCCCTCTTGTCAAAGCTCGAAAATTCACGGTTGAAATTCGTGCCTTCGTGTAAAAAGTTGTTTTTCTCTGCAAAAAGAAGCCGAGAACTCGTTTACTGATTTGTTTATTTTTATTTTAATTAAAAGCTTTGCGTGAAAACTGCTAAAGAGCTCAAATCACCGAGTGGCTGCCATTTTGAGAACCAAAGAGACACAGCCCATGTCACGTCAAGAGGCCTCCCTCCCATTTTTCTTAAAGAGACACGCTGCTCGCTCCCTCACTATCCATCCTTTAGTTAAAAACAGCCTTTTACTGCCATCCAGTGGTCAACAAAGGTACTACATAAATAAAAATTTCTTCTTAAATTTGACAATAATTACTAATTCTTGTTAAATTTCAAACAATATTATCGCAATAATTTCCGAGACAATTAATCGCCCAGCAGAATTTGTTATCGTGACAGACCTAGTTGAGAGTTAAATTCACATGTTTGTGGCCCACCAGTCCTTTCATCTGGATAGTTTTGTTCCACATGAGAATGTTTGGACACACCTGGTGTCAGTAAAGACCGAGTCTTGAAACCTGAACGGGTCTTGGTGGTTCTGTAATACGAGGCCTCTTCTCTCTCCAGGCTACGCTCCGGGCACTCCTTTCAAAATGTCCTGCTCCCCCAACAACGGGACGGTGCCACCCTACTCCTCCTCGCCGAACCCGTACCCTGCGGCCGTTTACCCCGTCAGGAGCAGCTACGCCCAACAGAGCCCGTACGCGCAGGTCAGTGAGTGCCGGTGACGTCGTCACGTTCTGCTTCCTGCGCTCTGCTCACGTTGAGCTGTCGTGTTTGTTCCAGGCGTTGATACCTTCACAGCAACAAGGCACCTACTACACCCAGCCGCTGTACGCCGCTCCGCCGCACGTCATCCATCACACCACGGTGGTGCAGCCCAACGGGATGCCTGCGGCTATGTATGCCCCGCCCATTCATCCCTCCCGCCCCAACGGCGTCGCCATGGGGATGGTAGCCGGCACAACCATGGCCATGTCAGCTGGTGAGCTGCTGCTCGTCACACGTTAAGAAGTTCTGTAGCCAAGTTGTGAGCAGTCAGTATCTTACCTTCTGGAGATGGCTCGTGGAATTGTATTTGATTTTGACGGCAGTGAACGGTAGCACTTCTGGTGCCACGTTATATAAATCTTCTGCCAGAGTCGCAGTCTAAGATGACACTAGTGGTCTTGGAAGGGTTTGTAAAGTAGCGTTGGCGTGAATTGCTATAAAATTTAGACGATTGGAGTCGTTTTAAGACGACGGCAGAATCGATCCTGTCGGATTTAAATTCCATTTTTCCAAGCGGAGGTTGCTCACGTGGCTATCTGCAACAGGTAAGATATTAACTATCACCTGCTGACCAAAGGCAGAAGTGTTTTTTGTTGAAGTGTTAAAATATCTCATAACCCGCTGGAAGCTTTTAATCTAAACTCTTTTAGGACGTAATCATCAGATGCACGTCGTCACCTGATTAAACTTTTAGTGCAACGTAATTCAGAATGAGCGCCGAAGCCAGCGCAGAAATAACCGTAATCCAGCCAGTTTGAGATATGAGCTAAAGTTTGGTGTAATACTCCGAGCACCAACTGTTAACATGCGCGCTTTGCTTAAAAGTCAAGGAAACTCCAACCATGCCGTTAGATTTATTAGGAGGAAAACTTTAAGAAACGTGTTGTCGTCTGAAATGAGTCTTTTAGTTTCTTATGGGGAGACTAAAAAATAAAAATCTGAGCAAAACATTAAGTAGAGAAATTAACTTTCCTGCGAAAGTGCAGTGTGAATGCTTATTGCTGAAGAATTTGTTGGAAAAACAGCTGAAATTAGCTAAAAATAACTGCTGAATTGTAGCTGAAATGGAAGAACAAGCCTTAATTAACAGAAGAAAGAATAAACAACACACTTTTCCTTTAATTTTGTTTAAATAAGCACAAAATTTAGGAAATTGGCTAAAAAAGCTGAAATTAGCAAAAAAAAAAACAATAGCTGAGAAGTAGCTGAAAAGGCAGAAATAAGCTTAAACTACCAGAAGGAAGTGGAAGGAGCTGAAATGAGCTAAAAATGTGGAATTAGCTGAAAAAGCTAAATGTAGCATAAAAACGGCTAAATAGCAGAAACTAGCAGGAATAAGCTGAAAGGAGCATAAGCTGAAATAAGTTAATTTGGCTGAAAGAAGCAGAAGTTAGCACAAAATATTTTTTTCTGTAAACAGCTGAAATTAGTTAAAAATGCTAAAAAGGTAGCTGTAAAGCTAGAACAAGCTTAAACTACCAGAAGGAAGTGGAAAGAGCTGAAATGAGCAAAAAAAAAAAAAAAAAAGTGGAATTAGTTGAAAAAGCTAAATATAGCATAAAACGGCTAAATAGAAGCCAAAATAGAAGAAACTAGCTGAAAGGAGCACAAGCTGAAATTATCAAAAATAAAAAAAGAAGTTACTGTAATTAAGATGAAAGAAGCAGAAACGACCACAAAATAGATTATTTTTTTCTGAAAACAGCTTAAATTAGCTAAAAATGCTTAAAAGGTAGCTGTATAGCTAGAACAAGCTTAAATTAGCAGATGGAAGCAGAAAGAACACGTTTGCTGACAAAAGCAGAAATGAGTTTTAAAAAGTGGAATATATATATATATATTTATTTATTTTTTTCCCCAAAAAAATCGCTAAAATCGGTTTCTCATGCAAGTATCGGCCGATTTCCCAAAATTAAGGAAATCGGGTCACCCCTATTAAAAACGGCTAAATAGTAGCTGAAACAGTAGAAGAAGTTGAAAGGAGCTGAAAGGAGCAGGATTGTCCTGGAAGATCTGAACGTGCGCTGACAAACGTACGGAAGAAAACTGGATGACCGAGTGAATGTTTCTAAAACGTGCACACCGTAATACAAACGTGCACTTTAAGGGCTCCTCACCGAGCGCGAGGACAAACTGAAAGTTGGAGTCTTGGAGGAGTTCTGGGTAGAAATCCTGATCTCTGGCCTTCGGGGAGCGTCGGGGTCTTCCTACAGAAACTCTCTCCAAAGTTTTTGAACTGTCCCTTTAATCGTGATGCATCGGCTCTTCTCTCCAGGAACTTTGTTGACGAGTCCATCACCAGCGCCCGTTGCCCCCCATCCAGTGTCGATGCCCACGTACCGGACCCCCGGCACCCCCAGCTACAGCTACGTGCCGCCGCAGTGGTGAAGACAGGTGAGGACCGCGAACGGACCGGGTTAAAACCCCAGAACTGGTCCGGTCCGCTCCGACTGACGGCTGCTCTTCTCGTCCCCGCAGGTCGGGGGGCGGTAGATAAGCATTCACGCTCGACTCCAGTGTTCTCGGCGGCGGCGGCGGCCTGCCCCCCCAGGCGGCGTCTGCGGCCAGTTAGTCTTCTTCCAGCATAATGTGAATCTTAAAAAAAAACAAATATCTAGAATGTGGCCCGTTCGGACAGGGAGGGGGGCTGAAGAATAGGCCCTGCATTCCACGCCACCACCTCACCCCTCCCTCCCTCCCTCCCTCCCTCCCTCCCTGCCTGCCAGCATCAGCACCTCCCACATCCAACAGCAACAGCCTCCTCCGGGCTAACTTTGTGTGGACTGCAGGTTTTTATAGCTCTGACGTGGTAAAAAGGGAGTTCAGTTTTTATTTTTTATGATTTTTTTTATTATTATTTTGGGGGCTACATATGATGTTGAGTGCATGTGTGTATATAAGTATATATATAGATATATGGAAAAACTGCTAGCTCAATCTACCTGCTGCGACAGATGCAAAGCCAACACGTCCAAAGGAATAAAAAATAAAAGTAATAATCTGCGATGCTGAAGCACCAGTGACCACGTCATAATGTGAAAGAGCTGTTCCGCCTGCGAGCGCGGACGTTACCATTTTCACCGCTAAGCGACGCTAACGTTTAACCCTTTCTTTACGCC